GTCATATTGACCATATTAAACACTTCCTGGTTGCACTTAATTGGAGGAACACTTTCTGCTCCAGGATTCCCAACCGGACCAACATTGTGTCTAGTTTGAGAATTTTCTCTTAAAAAATTGCAATGCATGCTGCGTTTTTTTGCTGCCGGACGCTTCCTCCTTTGCACAAAGTAGCCTAGACCTCAACTTTATGCAAAAGAGGAGCAGCCAACGTCATGAAACATAGTGCAGCGCTACCAGAATGCACATAGTAAATGAATGGAAAGCATTGAGATGATCCTGTGGACACATACCATAAGACTCAAAGGGATCCAAAATCTGTCCAGATTTTAAAGAAAATGCACTCCTAACTCTCTGGAGGAGTCCATTAGTCACACAATGACATTTCAGCCTGTTTTAACTGGCATCTTGTGTCTGTTCAGGCTTTTGGGACTGAGTCTGTCTCTGTGCTTCATCCTATTAGAGTCCCTCATGGTCCACTTTCCCATGAACATCTGACACGCATTTCCTTCCCCTGCCTCCGTCTGTCCATCTGTCTGTGTCTCTTTTCTATCTTTTCTCTTCACACACTAAACCAGGCATTGAATTTCTCTGTGGTCAAGTGTTGGAAAATACAGACATGGCACTTCAGTAATCCTCTGTAACTGAATACATGAGGTCTTTCTTTTTCTTTTTTTATTTGGCGATGCCTTCAGGGCAGTGAAACATTGCTGTATGTTGTTCTTCCATACAATGGGTCCTGTTAGCGTGAAGGAAGGGAGGAGACAGACCCAGGGCAAGAAGCCATAGGCAGACATCTGGGTTAACGTGATGATAGCTTTGGAGGCAAAGTTCACATGTTTGGATGTCATGACAGCTCCCTTCCGTCCTCTGGAGAACAGCCAAGTTAAAGATACAGCTGATCATTGACTTTTAATGGTGGTAGAGTAACAATAAATAACAAAGGAAGATAATAAATGGTTTTAAGTGGAGGTGCCAACAATAGCATCAGTGATAAAGCTTAAAGGAAAAGTTTTTGCTTGTTATCTGAGAGTAAGGTAAGGTTCTCAGGAAGAGGAACAATGTCCAACAACTTGTGGTTATATAACAGTTATTGCATGCATTTTTTCTAATTTCTTTCAGACTTACAATCACAGTCTCAGCCATTATTTGTTTTTCTTGTGGACCAAGATGCAAAGAAAGCATGGGACCAGTGGTTCCCAACCCCTACAAGAGGGGAATCAAAACATTTATGCTGCACAAAGTTATGTTTATATAGTCACACCTTACTCTAATCTTTACCATTTCTCTAGCAAATATCTTGACATTTTGACTCCCCAAAGGCATCTAAAAACAAATCAGATCACTTTGGTTTTAAAGTCAGTCCTTCTTACAAGTTGTTCAGCTTCAACCAGTCCATGTCAGTGTTGCACAACCTTGCAGTTCTGTCCAATCACTGCAACTTTTTGCAAATTCAACCAATCATAGCAGTTTCCCCGCACAAAATGTTGAGCCATACGTCTCCACTAGAACACATAATAATAAGGATAATAATGTTCTTAAGAGCGTGCTTTCACCAGTTGTGATTAATTAAATTGTAAATCTCACAGTTTTATACCAAATAAAATAAATCTGCAAAAAGATGGATGATTAATTGTTCAAATAATTTTTTAAGCAAAAATAACATCAATTTGTGAGGATTTCCTGCTTTTGTTCGTCACGTGTCATAGTAAATTTAATATATTTGGGTTTTGGACTGTTGGTCAAACAGAAAAGAGACATTTAAAGATTTGGTTGTTGGAGTTTGTAATTTTTCACTTATTTCTGTCATTTTATTGATCATAGACATGTAAATGATGTTTTGACCTATTAATCACTGAATCATCAGATTAGCTAATAAAAACAAAGGTGGTCTTTTTGTGTATTTACTTTCAGAGGGTGAAAATAGGTGAAATTATCTAATGTTTTTTTTTCTGTTCCTGTTAATAAATTTGCTTGCTTTGCATTTTGGTTCACAAGAAGAACAAATACATTCAGAGCCTGAGACTGAGATTGCAGCTTTGATAAAGAAAAGTGTGTGTAATTGTTATATACTGGTCTTGTAATTATAATGTTACTGGTATGAAGGAACAGTTGGCAGACATTGTTCCTGTTCATGGGAGCCTTAACTGTTACTGTTTAGTGGGAGAGCTGTGGTTGAACTGGACAGCTTCCAGATGTGAATGTGAACCTCTGTTCACTAAACAAACTCACATGCCAGTGCAGAAGAGAAGGTTTCCTCATTGTCATTTATCATTTAAAAAATTGAATTTGACCAACCTGATTTGTGCAACAGCTGCAGCAGCTGTGCCACAGTGAGATTTACCAATGGCAGGTGCCCTCAGTGGGAAGTTGACCACCCGGCATGCGCTACTCAAGCTCCAATTGGATGAAACCCTAAACGATCCAGGCTATAGCTGTAGCTGCTGTGCAGGTCGAGACAACATAACCAGCATTCGTGCAACAGGGACTGTGTTTGTAAGTGTTTGTGTGTGTGTGTGGGAACATGTGTTTGGGATTACTCCCTGCCAGCATTGGATTGGCAAATCCAGATGTGCAGTTGTTGGTCCCATCAGTAACTTTCCATGGCAGAGTGTAGGTGACTTTCCTCAGGTGGAACGGTGTGCAGAACACTCCTAAGGGAGAGTTAACAGCCTGAATAATGACGCTATATGCTTCACTCAGTCATGCAGTTAGTAAACAGCATTACAGTGGACATTTCTCATCAGGTTTTCTGGTATTGTGAAATATGTAAGATTTAGGGGCCAACTGTTCTGTTTTGACTAGTTGCTGCTTGTGTGATCTAAAAAAAGAAGGGATAATGGGCCTGTAATAAGCTGTAAAGTGAGAAAAGATGTTGTGGGAGAAAGTTTGATTTTCTCCATCAGAATTAAATTGTTTCCAGCCAGTTTCATAGAAAAAAATGATTAAATCAGGAAAATAGTTTACAATAGTTTATGCTTTATTCTTTACTTTACTATCGGGATACTTTCTTTTCTATAGCAGCTTGGCTACAGGGACAGTGTCAATATTTAAGGTTTTACACACTTTTGTTTTATGACCAAATACTAACAACTGACATTCCCATAATTCCCTGCTAATTAACAAACGTTAGCAAGCTGCCATGCTAAACTATGATGGTGAACATGCTAAATATAGCATTAAAATGTTAGCACGAGCATGAACACTAATACACTAATGAAAACATATCTATTAATATTATATTACATGTCTGCCAATAGATCCTGCCAAATGTTACACACTGGACCTTTAATGAAACAAAGAGCTGATTGACAGAATATAATTGACAACAATTCTGATAATCGATTCATTATTCAAATAATTTTTCAGGCAAAAATGCCATACATTTGCTTCAGAAATGTGAAGATTTTCCGCTTTTCTTTGCAACACATCATCGTAAATTTGATATATTTGGATTTGTGACTGATTGGGGACAATAACGTTTATTCTATTCTATTCTTAATCCAGCAGTTTAAAGACGTCACCTTTACTAGTTACTGGGGAAAGTACTTACAGTACATTACTGTAAAATTATTACTAGCAATGCCTTACTGCCCAGCACTGGATGTTGAACAGTGAAGCTCAAGCTGGTCTTTGTCAGTTAAAGTTCAAACACTGGCTCTATTTGATACTTTCACATCATTTGGAAACCTTGAGAAACCCTTCAAAACCACTGACCACTGTGACCTTTAACCTTTAATGCAGATTGTACTTCTGAGTCATGAATCTGAGATGACAGGCCGTCCTCGGGAGATCGTGTCCGCAGGGCCAAAACGTTTTCTCCCTTGCGATGCCGGTTTATGTTAAAAGCATTTGTTGGTCTCAAGGCAGCAGCTCATTTCCCTTTGGGCTATTTGAATCTATGGGAACTGAAATATCAGCAGTTTTTCCATTAATTTGACCCACAGTCTCACAGACACTGTAGTATAAAAGTAGAAACCGGAACCCAACATTAGTTAAATCACCTTGTCAGCGAGCCAGGAGAAGTTTGATTTATAGTCATTTTTTTCATTACCTCAAGTGTTATCTACCAACTCAGGTTGTTTTTATTTAGATCTGCAATGATTAACTGATTCATCTTTTAGAAAGTATCTAATAATCACTTTTCAAACATTTGTCAGGATTTTATGCTTTTCTGTGTTGTATACAATAAAAAACTAACTCTCTGGGACATTTAAAACTATTTTCTGACATTTTATAGACAAAAACAGTTGATCAGGATCATCTGTTTCACGTACTACTGTCAGAACGCAGTGAAAATGCGGTTTGTGGTTTTGTGGTTGCTGTTTAACCTGGAGGGTCAGTGTGGTTTGTTGCTCCAGAGGCACTTGTCGGTGACTCATTTAAAACAGTTTATTAATTTCCTGTAGTGAACACTTTTTTTCATTTTAACAGGTTTTAACACATCCTAACATTTATTTTGTCTTGATATCTGTAAAAAGATTGCTAAATCAGAAGAAACTATTAATTTAACCACAATAAGCTACGTATATTAGCTCTTGGAGATCTAGAATATCTTCTTATAGACTGTTCTGGATAGTTTGTTGTCCAAATGTTATCCTCTGAACCAGTTTACCTTTACAAAGAACGTGTGATTTGCTGATCATTTCTGTGCTTTAGACTCACTGTCTTTGGAACACATGCTGCCTTCAAGTGCACCTCATAAGCTCCTACTTCTGAGTCATAAATTCAACTTTTTACACACATTTTAGTGCTGTTTTGGGAGAAATAATATTAAAATATGTCCTATATTGACATTGTTTGGTGATGATTCTACTCAGGAAACATTAGAAACTCTAGAAAAACCTAAGAAGTCACAAATATGTTGGCTTTTCTAGCTTGTATTCGCCTCCATTCATGTGCACTTACAGCGGCGCTTGAAGGCAGCACTTGTCTAATTTCTTTTTTTAAGTCAACTTTCTTACTCTAAATCTCACCTTTCTGTTTCTTCCCTCTTGCAGAAGAGACCGGTGTCTCTTTGGACCAGCTAATCGGAGACCCTCCACCCAATGCGATCACCAGAGTCTACGGGCCAAGGGGTGGGGCTGCTTACGCCTTCACCTCTGCGGCAGTGTCGGGCCAACCGGCTCGGGCCCACGTCCCCAACCCTTTCTACCGCCACTTCTCCCTCGTCTTCTACATCAAGCCATCCACTCCTGCCGCCTCCGTCCTCTTCTCCATCACCGATGGGCCCCAGAAGTTCATGTACGTCGGTGTCAAGCTCAGTGCGATGCAGTCCGGCCGTCAGAGGGTTCAGTTCTTCTATACAGAGCCCGACTCCGAGGCTTCGTATGAGGCGGCCAGCTTTGACGTGCCCAGCCTGGTGGACACCTGGAGTCGCTTCTCGCTGTCTGTCCTGGAGGACCAGGTGACTTTCTACCAGGGCTGCGACTCTGAGCCACAGGTGGTGAAGTTTGAGCGCTCTCCGGATCCCATGGAGCTCGACACGGGGGCTGGGATCTTTGTGGGCCAGGCGGGAGGAGCCGACGCTGACAAGTTCCAGGTAATGTTTGATTATATGAAGGTACAGATATGGTGTTGAACCTTGTAAACCTTTTAAAATATGTAATTTCTGCTGCTAGGGGGTCTGGGTCCTTTTGTCATTGGTATACCAGATGAGCTGAGGAGGATACACCAGTTGCTTCTCCCAAATTTGGACAAAATAAGCCTGCATTTGGATCAAACTTTTATGACACGTTCTGTCTTTAAATACACACTTTGTAAGGTGAAGCTGAACGAAATGATCACTTTTATGGACTAAATCATTTGTATTTCAGACATACAAAAAAAGTTTAACACTTTTACTTTATGCTTTAGCATTTGGAAGAGAAGTTAATTTTCTAACCATAAACTCCAGGGTACCAGCAGAGGAAATGCTCGAGTGCTGAAGAGATGTTTGCTCATCACATTTCTGACAGAAATAAATGAAAAACAGCAATGAGTCCTCCTCCAAATGTCACCCGCGGGACCTGGAGAAGTCAGAATAATACACTGTGTGCTAAAAGAGCAGGTGTGTGAGTGTAATTTGAATGTGGAAGTCTGACCTCTTCCTTTGGTTCAGATCCATTTTTAATATCTCCCTGTGGCACCCTCCTCACGGCAGGTTTGGGTCACAGGCAACAGGAAGGGCAGACCTAATCCACTTCATCCTTGTAAATCTATTACTTGACCCCTCTCACCATTGACCTCTGACCTTTAGCATGCACCAGCAGCAGTTGACCACATGTTGACTCTTTTTGAGGTGGAGAAGAAGTGGATATTATTTATGTAAAAGCTAAACATTTGCTCCACATTTGTCCAGATTATCTTCTATTCTTAGCTGCATCTTTTATTCTTTTTCTGCCAAAAACATCCAAAAGAATACTTTTCAGTGCACAAATGGGTCTCTAATGAGAATATTCTAACTTGCCAATCGTCATAAAGTCCACCTCAATTCCAAACAGCCAGAATACAGCCCCTTGTAGAGGATTTAAGAAGATGATTTAAAGACAGAGTGACATTTCTCTCATGTTTTCCACCTATTTGGAGATTCCACATGAGGCTACTATAAAAAATTATTGCAAACAATGAGTCTTGTCATCACGGTGAGTTAGTATGTGTGTGTTTGTGTGTTTTTAGGGTGAGATTGCAGAGCTGAAAGTGGTGGGAAACCCTCGGGCAGCTGAGCGTCTGTGTGACGACGACGACGACTCTGATGCTGTGAGTATTTTTTGTTATATTTTTACGTCAAAGAATGCTTTTGTGTAACGTCTCTCTGTCTCGCAGTCCTCTGGTGACTTTGGCAGCGGCGAAGGCGACAGGAGACAGACGGGGCACACTGTGAAGGTCAGTTTGTCTTGTGAAACTGTACAGCTCTATATCTAAACCACAGTCATATATATGTACATTGTCTTTTTATCGTCTTTATTTAATCTTTATTCATATTTTTCTCCTGTTACGTTTATTGTTATGCAGCAATACACCAAGGCAAATTCCTTGTATGTGAAAACTTGGCAGTAAAATCTATTGTGATTCTGAAATAAGAAATAAAACAGTGAAAGCATCTGATAAGGGGCATTGAAGTGTGGGTATTTATTCTGGCCGTGGCAGTGGATGATGTCTATTGTTTTCTTTTTCCAGACCACGCCTTCTTCCTTACGACCAGTACCTGAACCCCCTGTGATATCCTCACAAGGAACCTGGCTCAAAGAAACAGGTAAAAGCTCAGTGGAATTACTTACGACTGCAAATCTGGCTGCCAAAGACGCTCAACACAGTAAACACACTACAGAACCAACCTGTAATGGAAGTTTTTAATCATACTGCAGCCACTGCCAAAGAAAGGTCTTCACTGTGTTTTTATCTGGAAGTATGTGCATAAGGGCCCTTGTCTGGACCTGAAAATGTAGGGAGTTTTGATGCAGGGTTCCAGCATGTTAGTGTGATTCGTAACTCTTTAGCTCCCCCAAGTGGATAGTTAAAGAAGGAGAGAATATTTGGTTATATACTGTTGCTACTAAAGGAGAAAGGAAAACCACTTTTGGCTTTAAAGTCTCCCGTAAAGACTCATAAACAGATTATCTGGCTCTGAAAGTAGGGCACATTTCTTCAAAATGTACACACACACGCACACACACACACACATTAACGAGGCACCACATTCCCTGCTTTGCAAGCCGACACTTGCAGGCCTCATGCTGCCGGTAAAGTTGTGTTCAACCTGTGTTGACTTTAGATGTCAGGTTTCACAAGCCGTTGGTGGACCACAGCCGGACTGGATCACCAGGCCCAAGAGGTGGGTCGCTGGGGGCAAACGGATGGGTCACGCCTTGAAGAAGTGCAGATTAAGATTAGGGTTATGCCCTAATCAACATGTGGCCATCCTATCGCAGTATAGAATGAGCCTTTGTGCTTCCAGCTGCTGTAGAGTCTCATTATGTTGGGCTGTGAGCATGTTGGTGGAGGTTGGTGGAGGTTGGTGGACGTCTCCTTTACAGTCTGTGCTTGATCCAAATTATTCAGTATGAGGCTGCAACGTCATTCAGTGCGCCAGACAGTCTATCAAGGTGACCAGATCTTAACAAACCAAATGTGGGACAAAGAGTATGTTTGCCAGAAGTTTTCTAAAATTGTATATAATGTCTGTAGGCCTATAATTTCTATTCTCCTGACATGTCTAGGTTTTGCCCTCTGACTGATTCCATAGCACACAATAGACCAGTGTTCCCAACCTGACCCCCACTAGGGGTCGCCAAAGCTTTGTTTAAAAGAACTAATAGAATAACAACAAAAAAACACAACACAACATTTGTCGGAAAAGACACCTACTAAGTATGTATGATTGTTAAAAATAGAAAGAGTGCATGATACAGATAGAGAATGGTATAATAAACGTCCATTAGTCAGTTTACACAATGATAGAAAAGGGGTCCCTTAAGGAAAAAAGTTGGGAACCAGTGCAATAGACTGTGCAGGCTACAGGTTAGGCCTTCAGCATCCCAGCTCCCACGTGGAGAAAATACACTGAGCATGAAAGGAAGTTGAAGTTTTACAGGTCTTATGGTCTTATATGATAGTTGCCTTCCACTGGCTTCACCCAGTTATAGTTATTACATTTCCTTTTCTAGGTAGTAGTTTCCATCATTTTCGGCCTAAATCTGCACAGCGTGTGACCTTGTGGTGACTTGTTTTTTCCCCTGTTAGGCGTAGCGTAGTAAAGACGGTGACAGGTTAACCTGCTCTTGACAAATTAATTAATTTGAAGTCACGAAAAACTTTTAAAGTGAGTTGACATGACAAATGATTCATTCGCCGCAGTTTTAATACTATATTCCTTTATATATGTTCTTGATAAACACAACATAAAAATAACAATATTGCATGAATGATTATACAAATAATAATGGTCACAATGTTAAAATAATAACGGTACTTAACTGAATGGCAGTGGTCCTACCTGTGGTAGCTTATTGTTAAAATAATAATATGTAGCCTAACTAATGAAAATAATCCAAATAGACAAAAGAACATGAAATAAAAAAAACACATTGGTTTCTGATTGCAGTGACTTCTGACTGAACAGATAAAACACCAGGATTAATAAAGTCTGCCTTTATCCTGGTCTGGAGCTGCACAGAATATATCTCCATGGTAACTTATAGTGCCGCTGCTTTCATGAAACGGAGGCACGGCTAAACTCAGCCAGGATAACTGGAAAATCCCAGCTTAATCTGCTATCTGGGTTTTGTGAAACAGCCCTCTGGTTACCCTTTACAGTCCACACAGGGGGCTTATTGTGTGATTAAAGGTAAAACGAATAGTTAGACTAGTTGGTTAGTTTTGTTCTTAATAATATATATATATATATATATATATATATATATATATAAACATGCAATATGCAATACAAAACAAAGGAG